TTAGGCAGGTGTGAAACAATGCTGTAAAGTAAGAATGCTTTCAGAAATAAAAGTGTTAACAGTTTATTTTTTATCAATTAGCAAAATAGAAAGTAAATGAATATAAGAGAAATCCAAATCAAATCAATATTTGGTGTGACCACCCTTCACCCTTCAAAACAGCATGAATTCTTCTCGGTACACTTGCGCATAGTTTTTGAAGGGACATGGCAGGTAGGTTGTTCCAAACATCTTGGAGGACTAATCACAGATCTGTCTCTTCATGTAATCCCAGACAGACTCGATGGTGTTGAGATCAGGGCTCTGTGGGGGCCAAACCATCACTTCCTTGTTCTTCCTTACACTGAAGACAGTTCTTAATGACACTGGCTTGGGGTTGTTGCCTCCCTGATGGTATGGCATGATGGATAAATATCTGCTTGTATTTCCCAGCATTGAGGACACCAGTGATCCTGACAACATCTCCAACTCCAGTGGCAGAAATGTAGCCATAGACTTGCAAGAAACCTCTAACATGCTTCACTGTTGCTGCATTATCAAATACCCACGAGAAGTTTACGGCTAGTGTCCGTCATATCTAGCTCCAGCCATAGGGTTTCCACGTCTTCCCCATTATTTGACGCAATATCGTCAAATTGTAATGCTCTCCAGCCATTCGGCGAACAAGCTGCCTCTTGCTACAGCCAAATATTTAAAATTTTGACTCATCAGTCTAGAGCACCTGCTGCAATTTATTTGCACCTCAGTTCCTATGTTTTTGTGCATAGTTGAGTCGCTTAGCCTTGTTTCCACGTTGGAGGTATGGCTTTTTGGCCGCAGAAAAATAAAACTTCATAATAAAACTTATAGAGACTCCGCCAGGAAGGTGATCATATGAACACCCATTCCGTTATACTTTATATAGTTCATCACGTTTCCAGCAAATTTGGTGATAATATGTGTTATGTATGGAAGGTCTATCTCCTTTTGGTACAAGTTTAGGTCCAGGATAGTTATAACTAAAACACTCAGGAGCCATTTAAAGTCCAATGCACTGTAAAAAAATGTCTTAATGTCACCTTTGACTCCAATGGTTTTATGTGTCCTATGCAGAAAGGCTGCTTAAAAAGTCAAAATGAGCTTTTAGCGCCATCCTAGGAAAGTGATTATAGAGCCATTCTTCATTCAGATGCTTGATGGGGGCGAAGAGGAGGTGGAGAGTTTGCAGAGCTGGTAGGATATTTGTTTTAAGATGTACATATTTATTGGGTAAGTACAGGGCCGATGCTAGACTAATTTGCGCCCTAGGCAAGACCAGCTACTTGCACCTCCCCTCCCGTGGCGCAGCCCCCAATCCCCCCCTGTGCAGCGCCATTCTCCTGCGGGTTAGCTTCTGCAGGAGACAGGTGGATGTAATTTAATTTGAAATAGCCGAAATAGTCTGAAATAGCAGACTGGCTTTTTAAACCCCACCCACTGAGAAGAGGAGCAAACCTGAGAAAGTTGTCTCTCAGTTACACTCCTCTGCTCAGTGGGTGGGTGCAATAGCCTGCCTGCTATTGGCTTTTGCAATTTGAAATAGACAGGGGGCGTCGTGGGGGGGGGGAATGGTCAAGGCTGCACCCTCGGTAGCAGTGCGCCCTAGGCAGCAGTGCACCCTAGGTGGTTGCCTAGTGGCAGCACCGGCCTTGGGTAGGTAACAAGCATTGTGCTAATTAAGTTTGAATGTTGAAGTATACAGAAAATTGCAAAATGAACAGAACCAAAAAAATTTAGCAAACAGTTCAATCAAAACTTGTGATGGTGATAAAATAGGTTGTACAAATGATCCCCAATTCCTCCAAATGGACACGTGACTTCTGCATAGGAGAGTGTATTTTGTTTGTTTGCTTGTTACAGAGCATACAATTAAGAGGCCAGCTAATGCGATTCTAACTCTGTGTGATAAACCTCCAGCATTGCTTTAATATTTCTGTGTATGTTATGTAACATATTCGGTTTCAGTTTTCAATTCATCCGTTTGTGTGATAGTATAGCTTTAATTCTAAGCTACCTACTAGCCACCTGTAATTTAAGAGTTGTTTCTTCCTTTGAAATATCACTTTTAAATAGCACTTAGAATAATAATGAAGTAAAATTGTTCAAGATGTTTAATTACTAGAAAACCTGAACCACATATGGTAGAATCCTTGGTTGAATGGAATTCTAAATAAACTGTTCAACAGACAGTATAGCAGCTGGCAGTTTTCTGTGGAAGGCTGATGTGAGATGTCCAGATGTGTTTTTGAAAAGTATTGTGGGAAAAAAGGGTGAGCTGTAATACAAATATAGTAGCTTTTATTGCTGTGTGGGTCTCCCTGTTTATCTCTGTAATGTGCAGCTTCTCGAGGATGGAAGTTAAAGGACTATTCACACATTTAAACTTTGGACATGTTTCAGTGCACTTTGAAATGCCTTTTTTACAATGCGTTTCATTTGGAACATTTCTGAATATGAGTTTTAACATGGTGTGATTTTGAGAACCTTGATCGATGCATGTTTGATGCTGTTTTCGGCAAGCATACCTGCCAAAGGGATGAAAAATACCACATGCAAAATGCACTTAAAATGAGTTTTAATGTATGATGCTGAACACAGAATACCCTCCTGACAGGAAGTGCACACAAAAAAAACACTCAAAAGCACTGCAGCTCAAGAAAAATGTACAGCCGTAGATTTCATAAGGAGTGTTGTAGATACTCTTTATAAATCTGTCTTAAAGGAGAACTATGAGGTGAGTGCTTTTCACTCACCTCATAGTTCTAGCCGACCTGTGACAATGAGACTGTAACAGGTCGGCTCAGTAGATTGGGAGGTGAGCGAACACATACCGGCGTTCGCTCACCTCTCGATCCTGTCACGGCTCTCTGCCGTGACAGGGGAGGGGCGGAATTCCCCGCTCCGATCCGCCGGCGCTGACTGGCGGAACGGACGGGGGAGGGGGCGGGTACAGCTGGCTCTTCCTCTAGATAGGCAGAGCCAGCTGTCAGTCACGTAGCTGTGCGGATCCCAGCACAATTGTCGGGATCCGCTTCAGCTGCGGCGCCTCAGTATACCGCGAGCAGCAGCTCGCGGTATACTGCGGCGTCTCAGTATACCGCGAGCTACAGCTCGCGGTATACTTAGCCTAGGGTGAAGGGAGGACGCTAGTTTGTGTCCTCCTGTTACCCTAAGGAGAACTATGGGGAAAAGCCTTAACCCCATAATTCTCCTGTAAAGGAGAACTATGGTGTAAGTGTTTTTCTCCATAGTTCTCCTAAGGGTCACGGGAGGACACAAACTAGCGTGCTCCTGTGACCCAAAGCTCACTATACTGTGAGCTGAGACGCGGCAGACGGATCCCGACATTACTGTCGATCCACCCAGCTGCGTGATTGACAGCTGGCTCTGCCTATCTAGAGGCAGAGCCAACTGTAACCGCCCCCTCCCCCGTCCGTTCTGCCAGTTAGCGCTGGAGGATCGGAGCGGGGAGGGGGGGGGATCCCTGCAGAGATCTGTGAGTGACAGTCACGGCTCTCTGCAGGGACATGATCGAGAAGTGAGCGAGCGAAGGTATGTGTTCGCTCACTTCCTGATCTATTGAGCCAATGTGTGACAGTTTCATTGTCACACGTCGGCTCGAACTATGAGGTTGAGTGAAAATCACTCACCTCATAGTGCTCCTTTAAGGCTACATATGTCTCAGCTTGCAACAGATTAATGTACTTGTTTGTGCATATGAAAATTACCTTATCAACTTGGAGGTGAGTTAACACAATTATAGCATCCTTTCCTTGATTCTGTCTATAGCCACACCTCCAAAAATGTGTCACACATGCTTTTTTGAATCTCTTGCCATGCATGTGTGTTGCCATGCAAGCATGCACTTATTTTACTTTTGCCATCTGATTGTGATTTGCATTGTGTATATAAGTTTAGGCACAAACTCTCCCCACCCCAGTTCTCTGCATTAAACCCCATTAAACCCTGCCCCCTGGGCCCCCTCATTAGTTCTTCATAGTATCCATGCATTTCTTCCACCTTTCAGGTAACAAACAGGATCATCTTTCTCTTTTTCTTCTCTCTAGGGGTGTGTGGCCCTTACTCCTGCACAGGGTAGCACTCAAGTAATTACATGAACATTTTTATTTTAACTATTTTTTATTTATTAGCAGGAGATTGGTTTTAAAGACCAACCTACATCCAGACTGCTGATTGTTCAGTGAAGGAGCATTATGTTTTTTTCTTACCTATTTTTTGCAAAGAAAGTCCAATTGTTAGACTTTTCAGCATAGTGCAGCCTGTTTGGCACAAAGTGCTACCCCCATCTCACCTATTCTGAGGCCAGATGTGTAGAGAAATCACAGAAAGCTAATGTAGCTTTTTTTAAAGGAATATTTAGCTATCAGTGAAGAACCACAGGTACACGCCAACAAACCATCTAGGTTATGGCCTTTATGAACACTATGAGTAGGCATAAGTATCATACTGACTGGACATACCAGCTACCTAATGTGTTGCTATGCAAGAAAGTTATTTTCTACAGATCCTCTGTCTGCTGCTGATATTTACCACATCGTGTTTTTTTTATACATTTTGGTTGGAACTCTTCTCTGTGAAAAACTTGAGATAAGCAATTCTTTATTCTGTGAAAAAACAAACTTTCTAATCAGTTAACAAGTACATTGCATTATTTTCTCTTTTTTCTGCTGGCAATTAATATGTAAATAAATAACTTTGTCAGTTTCAGGTAAAAAAAAATCTAAAACCTAATAACATTTTGTGATTGCTTTACCTTTGTTATTGTAATTTTTACAGCGAACAGATGTTTTGTTCTAGATATACAGCAAGAATTCCACACATTATTTTCCCTTTTTTATTTAGAAACCTGCACACTTTAAGAATTTTTATTAGCTATTTAGAAAATATAAAAACAAACCATAATATTTGTATTTTCTTTCTTTCTGTGTTCATAACAGGCAATATAATATTTTGTGTTCTAGGTGGCTTGCTTGACTCATGTAGCTGCCAACTTCCTTAATGGTGGAGTAGAAGCAAAACGATGGGGAACCGCTCATGGAAGTATTGTCCCATACCAGGTAAAAATTTGATACAAAGCATTGTATAAAGAAAATATTCATGTAAGCAAATTATTAATTACGGTTGTTGTCCCTCGTTTGTGCAAATGTAATGCTCAGTCATGGCAAAAAAATTGGACTATCTTTTCTATGCAACACCTCAACTGAGTATCCATTTCTGTGCGCACCCAAAGAAACTGCAACTTTTATTTTACACTGGCGGTGAAATTAAAGAAATCAAACATAAACGTTTGTATTTCTGTAGAAATGTTTTCAAACCACAGATAACAGGTACATTCATGATAATAATTAGGATCTGATTTACAAAAACTAGAGCAGTTACTCATAACTAGGGATGAAGTTTGGTTTAGGGTCAGACATAAGTTAAAGGAAGACCCATCGTGATTGCAGATCACAGAGCTGCTGAATTAATGTACCCACTCACCCATCTGAATCCCTCAAGCTGTAGTGTAAACCAACCGGCCGGCATTCGGGGGGTGTCTGACCAAATTTGGTTATTAATCGTATTTGGTCAGTGACATCACCCGAAATCCCCAGAGGTGTGGTTACATTGCTGCAGCATCGGTCTGTCTCTGAATCCTCACAGCCTACGTAAGGCTCAGGTATTATGAAGCAGTTTGATGTGATTTAAGTCTGATGTCCCTAGTGGCAGCAGCTTTTCTTTTATTGCAAGCATATACCTCTGTTAATCTAGTTTTGCTAAAAATTTTTACAAACCTCAGAACCTATATCAAAATTTTAACCATTTCACACAAAGTGCCATTTTAATAAGGAGTGCTGTTTTGGGTACCACTTAGTCAAATTGATATTGGAGTTTTGGAGATGGTTCATATGTGGTTAACTACATCAAAAAAGGGGAAAAAAAATCTAACTTGCAGTGAAAGATGAAGAAAATTAAAAGTGGTTAGTTTAGAAAAAATTCTGACTTTCTTTTGCTGTATGCTTTCTCTGAGTTACTGACTAATAAGGAAGGTAGCCTCACAGACACAGCCAGGTGACTAGCATTTTCAAACATACTGTATATTCATGTTTCTGTCATGATAGTAGTGAGGTAGCATATTTAACCTCTTTACTACCAGCTGTTGTACACAAACAGTCGGTGTGCTGCCCTTTTGTTCCAAGTAAACATACCTGTGTACGTCCGCTCGGAACTGGCCTCTTATGCATTTGTGCACAGACATATGAGCACGCTAATATTGAAGACAGAAGCTCACAGGCAAAAGATCTCCCATTCCTCTCACACATAGAGAGCTCCTGAGAGAGGAGAGAGAGCTAGCTTCTAATGGAAGCCAGTGTTTCCCTGTGTGCCAGTGCCTGCTTACAGCCAGTACTAGGACCTGATCACAGCTAGTACTAGCACTAGAGCCAGCCAATACCAGTGCCTGATTACAACCAGTACCAGCCAGCAAAAAATTAGATATTCAAAATGCTCACTATATACCTTGTGGTGTCTATTTTCCAAAAAGGGGTAATTTTGGGGGTGTTTTATACTGGGTTGATACATTTTAAAGACATGATTTTGACAAATCTTTTATTTAAAAAAACCCCATGAAATTAAAAAATAAAATAAATAGAAATAATAACTTTTAAAAAAATCACGCCCGCCGACCCGTCCGCTCGCGGTGAACTCCCGCCGCAGAATGGCATTCTGATAGATGCCGGCAAAATATAAAAAATCGAACGGAACTAGCTGTGACATCACCGCTAGCTGCGCCCAATTGTTTACTTTGTCCGTCACCAGACAGGACTTAGCTGTGTGAGCCATGATTGGGCAAAGTCACCATTACTTTGCCCAATCATGGCTCTCACAGTGCACTGTGCTGTGATTGGGTAAAGTCTTGCACCTGACCTGTGGTCAGGTGCACTGCTTTACCCAATGAGGGCTTCACAAGGCACTGTGCGGTGTGCAGTCCCTTGTAAATATAGCTAGCCTGCCGAAGACACCCTGATAGTTTGTGTGTTCACCAAACACATGAACTATCAACTATCGAACTGTTGCTCGACTCAAACATTCTAGACCATCCCTAGTCCCCAGCACACTTTCAAGCTAGACAGCAAAAAAAAACTAAATCAATTCATAAATAATACTTTTTTTTAGGTACTCCGGTTAAAAACAGAGGTTTTGTTTGCATACATTTGCAAATGCATGTGGAAGCCACATTGACCCATGAAGGCATCTCTAAGGCCCCATTCACACTAAGCGATTTATCACCACGATATCGCGCATTTTTGCCACGCAATATAGCGAGAAGTCCCCGGCCAATTATTTTTAGTGGAGCTGTATGGCCTGGATGGGAAGGGGGTTTAACACCGCGGATGTCAACTGGTTAATGTACAGCTCCATGCCGCTCATCGCAGTCGCAAGTCGCTTCTACATGACCCTTTTTTCAGCGAATTTTGCGTGATTTTTCTATTTTTTAATGCTGCACGACGGTGAAGGTCGCACTACCGTCGCTGGAACGTCGCCCGAAAGTCGCGCTATCCCGGCCGCACGGATCCGCTGCAAAAGGTATGTCGCTTAGTATGAATGGGGCCTTATAAGTGTGGTCCTGAACTAACTGAGTTCACAGCGATGGGACATACAATGCACTGACAGAGAGTAGGCTCACCTGGAGGCAGCTCATTTCTCCCTAAAGATACAGTAGCACACCAGAAGCCCAGGCATGACTTTTTGTACGCAGCTGAAGACTTTCACTGTGTGTCTGCACTAAATCAAAAAAATCAATAATGGCAGACACTACTGTTTGAAACTAGTAAAAGAGAATGGTCCACATGGGCAGGGCAATATACAAAAAAACATAAAGCAGCTGTAGGTCCAGCTATGGAACATTTATAGCAATGCTCAGAGAACAGGCCCACCTGGAGGCAGTCCTTTTCTCCCTAAAGGGATAAAGACCATTTTCTGCAAACTATTACAGGTGAAACTCGAATAATTAGAATATCGTGCAAAAGTAATGGCAGTAAGTGCTGCAAAAGGGGCCCAAACCAAGTACTGAGTACATATGCATGCTTGTACTTATCAGAGGTCCGATATTGTTCTATGTACAATCCTTGTTTTATTGATTGCATGTAATAATCTACTTTTTTGAGGTTGTGGATTTGTGGTTCTTGGGGTTTTCATGAGCTGTAATCCATAATCATCACAATTATGACAAATCACGGCTTGAATTATCTTGCTTTGCATGTAATAAGTCTATCTCATATATTAGTTTCACCTTTTAAGTTGCATTAGTGAAATAAATGAACTTTGAACGATATTCTAATTATTCGAGTTTCACCTGTATATAAAAGCAGTAGCTTTTGTTAGGAGAAAAGGACTCCCTAAAGTGTTACATACCTGAAGGGATCTAAGCTGACAAGGACAGGTTTCCTTACTCCTTCAGTCCAAGCACTTCTGGTGATATGACATGTGTTTTGATGGTAATGGAATGGCATGTGGTGTGTTATAGGGTTTACTGGAACTTGGGGTCAGAATTAGACTACAGCATCAATAAAAACGGTGAACAGCAGATTGCAAAGTAGTAACATTGTTAGAACATAAGACTGGGGTGGCAACAAACAAGAAACGGAGGTCCAGAGACGTAATTAGAGGAAAAGGCATTGTTAATAATGCAGATGTTTGGGCAAGCCCAGAGTCAGTGAATCCAAAGGCAGTTCAGTAACAGAAGGCAGAGTATTCCTGGTCATAGGATACTCAGCTCTGATTGCAAAGGAAGGCTGAACCTAAGATAGTCCATTTGAGGCTAACACCAATGCCGAGCATGCGGACCAGCACATGTACGTGCTGTGAAGTGCAACTGTATGCATTCATGTGTGCAGCCAAGAAGCCAGCAGCAACTCTATGTGAAGGGCCACACACCATGTGCCCACAGAGTAGTGTGACCTTTCAAATACTGCACACTTCTCTATATGACAATATACCATATTGTTGCCCGAGCCAGCAAGGGAACAGGTCATTGCATGCCAGACATTGCTCTGTGGGATAAGGGTCTAAGTCAGGGGTCAGCAACCCGCGGCTCTGGAGCTGCATGTGGCTCTTTCATCCCTCTGCTGCGGCTCCCTGCCCAGGGACGGAATTACCGCTGGGGCCTGAGGCTGTGGGGGGGCCCAGTGAGGTCCGGTCCTAAGCACCCCCCTGGTGGAATATGCATCAGTGCAGGGTCCTGCACTGCCGATTTGGATTATAATGGGGAACAATACACTGTAATGTTGCCTATTATAATCTATTTCTCTGATTAAATGATTAGACAGATTCTTTGATTCTATCAAAGTTTGTGACTAGATTGGAGATGTGTGACCAGTGACGTGGTCACACATTTCAATGTAATCCCGCCCAGTTTTTTGGGGGCAAAATGTGTGACCAGCAATAGGTCAAGCATTCCAACGCTTTCTCAGCTGTCCCAGGGCAGATCTGCATCTCAAATCGTATGTGCAGGAGAATTGATCTGCCCTGAAACAGCTGTTCGGTCCTGAAATGTCACTTCTAACCGACTTTATGAGTGGAGTGGAATGTGAGATCGCACTCACAGAGACGGAAAGAAGTGACATTTCAGGACCGAACAGCTGTTCCTGGGCAGATCAGTTCTCCATGTTAGGGGTCTGGGCAGCCTGGGGGGGGCCTCTTACATGAGTATCAGCTGTACCAGGGGCGGCATGGCAGAGGTGACAGGGGAGGGGGTGGAAGAGGCAAGGCCCCAATAGCAGCAGATAAGAGGAGTTGGGAGGAAGTACAGGAAAAGGGACCCCAGCGACCAGCCCACCTGAGGCCCTGCAGAGCCCACCATAGAGAGTCTCAGATGGGAGAAACAAGAAATCATTGACTGCATGGAAAACTGACAAAAAGCTTATTACATCCAAAAACAGAGCATCCATGTGATTTTAATGCAATGTTTAGCCAGCTTATCTGTTTTACTTTACTTTACTCAACAGGCGGTATCTCACATTAAGTTCTAGAGAAGAACATTATATGGTGCTTAGACCTTTTTTGGCTTGATAAACCA